CAAATCCCCATTTTCCCCCCATTCCCCCCACCCAGGCCCCCCGCCATGAAGCACTGCTTCTACAACGAGTCCGTCGGCTTCTTCTACAACAACAGCCGCAAGGAGCTGAGCGCGCACTGGCGGCCGCGCGACGTGCTGCTGGTGGCGCTGGGGCTGGCGCTCAGCGCCCTGGTGCTGCTCGCCAACCTGCTGGTCATCGCCGCCGTGGCCGCCAACCGCCGCTTCCACCACCCCATCTACTACCTGCTGGCCAACCTGGCGGCCGCCGACCTCTTCGCCGGCGTGGCCTACATGTTCCTCATGTTCCACACGGGGCCGCGCACGGCGCAGCTGTCGCTCGGCACGTGGTTCGTCCGCCAGAGCCTGCTGGACACCAGCCTGACGGCCTCGGTGGTCAACCTGCTGGCCATCGCGGTGGAGCGGCACCGCACGGTGCTGGCCATGCAGCTGCACAGCGAGATGTCGGCGCAGCGCGTGGTGGGGCTCATCTTCTCCATCTGGGCGGCGGCGCTGCTGCTGGGGCTGATCCCGTCCTACGGCTGGCACTGCCTGTGCTCGCTGGAGAGCTGCTCCAGGATGGCGCCGCTCTACAGCCGCAGCTACCTGACCTTCTGGGCCGTCTCCAACCTGCTGGTCTTCCTGGTCATGGTGCTGGTCTACGGGCACATCTTCGTCTACGTGCGCAGGAGGATGGCGCGCATGGCGCGGCACACGGGCGCGCACCCGCGGCACCGCGACACCGTGCTGGCGCTGGTCAAGACCGTCACCATCGTCCTGGGTGGGTGGTGTGTTAGGGGTTAATTGGGTTGGTCACCATCCTGGGTGGGTGGTTAATTAAGGGTTAATTGGGTTGGTCACCATCCTGGGTGGGTGGTGCATTAAGGGTTAATTGGGTTGGTCACCATCATCCTGGGTGGGTGGTGTACCAAGGGTTAATTGGGTTGGTCACCATCGTCCTGGGTGGGTGGTGCATTAAGGGTTAATTGGGTTGGTCACCATTGTCCTGGGTGGGTGGCTCGTTAGGGGTTAATTGTGTTGGTCATCGTCAGCCTGGGTGGTGGCTCATTAGGGGTTAATTGGGTTGTTCATCGTCAGCCTGGGTGGTGGTTCGTTAAGGGTTAATTGGGTTGGTCCTGGTCAGCCTGGGTGGGTGGTTCATTAGGGGTTAATTGGGTTGTTCATCGTCAGCCTGGGTGGTGGTTCGTTAAGGGTTAATTGGGTTGGTCATGGTCAGCCTGGGTGGGTGGTTCATTAGGGGTTAATTGGGTTGATCATCATCATCCTGGTGGGTTGGTCATCATCATCCTCAGTGGGTGGTTAATTAGGGGTAATTAGAGGTTAATTGGATTGGTCATCATCATTCTTAGTGGGTGGTGAATTAGTGGTTCATTAGCCATTAATTAGGGGGTAACGAGTGTGCACCCGCGGCACCGCGACACCGTGCTGGCGCTGGTCAAGACCGTCACCATCATCCTGGGTGGGTGGCTCGTTAGGGGTAATTAGGGGTTTATTTGGTTGGTCACCATCCTGGGTGGGTGGTTCATTAGGGGTTAATTGGGTTGGTCATCATCGTCCTCAGTAGGTGGTTAATTGGGGTAATTAGGGGTTAGTTGGGTTGGTGAGTTGACAAGTGATTTTTTTGGGATTTGGGATCATCTTGGGGGCTCCAACATCAAAATTTCCCTGGAAAAGTCAAGAGCAAGGCGGTTTTCTGGGATTTGGGAGAGCCCCGGATTCCTGGGTGGCCCCAGAACCAAAATTTCCTTGGAAAACTCCTGGTGGGATCAAGGATTGAGAAGAATTTTGGAGTCCTGGGGAGCTCCAGCACCCAAATTTCCTTTGAAATCTCAAGAACGAGGCGGTTTTGTGGGATCTGGGAGAACTTTGGATTCCTAGGGAGCTCCAGCTTGGATTTTTCCCTGGAAAATTCCAGGTTTTTAGGGAAACCGTGGGACCAGAATTCCCATTAAAGACTGGTTTTAACCCGGAGTTGTTTTTCCTTGGGAAAAGCTCAGGAATCTTCCAGGAGGGGGTTGGGAATTCTGGGAGCGGGATTTGGGAATTCCGAGGGCTGGAATTTCCCTGGAAAAGGCTCCAAAATCCTCCGGGATTTGGGGATTCCGAGGGCAGAATTTGCCCTGAAAATTCCACAAATCCCAGGATTTGGGAATGCTGAAAAAACCCCAAATTTTCCATCCTTTTTTCCCCCGCAAGTTCTGGGAATTCCCAGGGATCCCTGGAGTGGAACCACGTGACTTTTCCCACCTTGGCTGCAGAATTCCTTGGATTAAACAGGATTTTTTCTGGATTTCATGGGATTTTTCCAGGCAAAAATGAGGTTAAACACCCCAAACCTGGAGCCCGAGATTCCTCCAAAACTGGAATTGTTCCCAGTGGGAATTTTTAAGCTGCAATTCCTTCATTTTGCCTTTAATTCTTTAATTTTTCCTTTAATTCCTTTTTTTTTTCCCATCAAATTCTTTCATTTTTCCCTTTAATTCCTTCATTTTTCCCTCTGTTTTTATCCCAAAAATGGGATCAGAGCTCTGCTTTGTTGGGATTCAACCCCGGAGCTTCGAAATTACCCAAAACAGAGCTGTGGGCACAAAAAATTCCCAAATTTTTGGGTGGAAAAAGGGAAAATCGAGAGCTGCGGGGGTGTGGCCTCGGGGAGGAGGCGTGGTCTAATGCGAGGGGGCGTGGCTACGGTTGCCATGGAGACACCGTGACGTTTGGGCGGAGTCGAAAGGACGGAAATGGCGATTCTGAAGGCGTGGTCAGATAGGGGGCGTGGCCACAATTGGGCGGGATAACATTCAGAGAGGGCGTGGTCACATAGGGGCGTGGTCACAGCGTTGGCGGGAATATTCGTCCCCTCCTGAAGGGGCGTGGTTTCACCTGTGGGCGTGGCTAAACGCAAAGGCGGGAAGGGCGTCCCCTCATGAAGGGGCGTGGCCTTCTCTGGGCGCGGCGGGAGGAGGGCGTGGCCAGGGCTGGGCGTGACCACAGCGGCGGCAGCGCGGGGGGGGGGCGGCTCTGTGGCCGCCGGCTCGGCGCGGCTCCTGTCGCGATCTGTCGCGATTTGTCGCGATCTGTCGCGCCCTGTCGCGCCGGCCCCGCGGCTCCAGGCCCGCCCATCAGCGGCGCCGGCGCGGGGGGGGGTCGGCTCTGTGGCCGCCGGCTCGGCGCGGCTCCTGTCGCGATCTGTCGCGATTTGTCGCGATCTGTCGCGCCCTGTCGCGCCGGCCCCGCGGCTCCAGGCCCGCCCATGGAGGCCGCGCCGCGGTTGGTGCCCGGGGTGGCCCTGCCGGGGTCTCTTCCGCCGGCGCCTCCCCCCGCCGCGTCCCCCCCCGGCGCACCGCCC